GGCGTCGCCATCCCCACCGTCAACCAAGCACCTCCGCCCCCTTCATCCCTTCCCCCTTCACCTCCTCCACCGTCGCCACTGCCACCATCTCCAACTCCGCCCCGCATCCCCCTCTCCTCTCTCTCCCCCGCATCCCCACCTCCTATAGGAAACAGCTATCTCTTCCCCGCATTCCCCTCTCCTCTCTCCCCCCCATATCCAGCTTTGCTATCTTCCTCCCTTCTTCAATGCGTGTTCACATCCCCCGATGATGCAAAAGGAGGAGAAACATTTCTATAATACCTTATGGACTACGGTCTCACCTGTTAGGTTGTCGGGGCTCCACTGCATTTCCGCCTGGCCCTTCGGCGGACTCCGGACTCCACTCCATGTCCACCGCCACTGGAGACGAGGCGCCTACACTAGTGTACTGACAGTACTGACAGGGGGGACCTAGCTTCAAATCGCTGATGGTCTACATGTGACGTGTCTGCTAGTTTCGTTCATTGTACCTGTTTCATCCGGCTGGTTAGCTTGAGCCTGTGCTCCTGCACCAACCACCGCAACTGGAGCTTGTTGCTGAGGATATTCATCTGCAGCATATCGGACGTCGTAAGTTTAAACCATACAGAGTACGTGGCAATGTATTGCAACTGTGAGAAATTGCGACCATCTCGTGAGGAGCCACGGCCTCTTTGCCATTATTAACAAGCTGGACGCACTGCTGTCTGGTGATGTGATAATATGCACGAGACTGGCACTGATCATTGCGTCCACAGGACGCCCACGCAAATTCGAATTTGGTGAGCGGCCGTCGCAGAGGTAACGGGAATATGTTTTAGCTGGAGGGGCCATAGTTATTAGCTGTTATTATACCGTCACAGCCAGCCAGGCTTGCAAACAGATACTGTGCGCGTTTGTACTTGTTTTGCCGAACGTAGCACCAAAAACACTATGCATGATCATGCTAAGTCATGTTCTCACTAAAACCAATTCTGGCATGACGATATCAGAAGGCTTCTATAAAGGAATCCGTGAATTACGACCACTTCAGCCAAACTACTTCTGAAGGGCCCTCAGCCCTTCATTGTGGGATGAGCTCGGAATTCATGATAACTCACGTTGGAACAATGCATACAGTCATAAGTAATTAAAACAATCCCTGGCATGGCGATATTACAAGGCTTTTGCATGCTAAGTGGCCATTTCAGCCGAACTCCGTCGATATGCTCTGAAGGCCCCTCAGCCCTTCGTTATGAAATGAGCACGAATGAGCACGAAACGACAACTAGATGAAGGGATTCCCGGGTATCGAAGGGAAGCGGGTTCCCAGAGTGGTAGTAGTGGGTAATGCAGTACGGCTGTCAAAAAGAATTCGTTCTGGTGGTTTCTGCTTCGTAGTCTGTCGTACAAACCGCGAAAGAGAGGAAGCCTTGGCAACTGACCGTTGGCCTAGTAGGCGGCTTTTGAAGCAGTGCACGGTTGTTGTCGGTTGTCGGTTGCTAACGGAAGCCAAAATGGAAAGGAAGGTCTTTCGTTTGTACGGACTCAGCCCCGATTCGACGTCGACCCCTGTTCCGTTTGCGTGCAGGAAAACACACACACATATACACACATACATACACACATATACACATACAGAGAGAGAGAGAGGGAAGGGGGAGGCGGAGGGGAAGGTGGTGGTCGCGACTGTGCGAAGGGGTGGGTGTGTATGAAAGGGGGGGGAGAGGTGGTGTGTGTGAGGGGGTTGGTGAGAGACCTTATGCGGATGTGTCTGTGGGTTTTGCGTATGGGCGGGCGCCGGTGCAGTATGTGTTCTGGGATATCTTATATGTCGGTGGGGCTCCGGTCCGGGGTGTGTGTGTGTGTGTGTGTGTGTGTGTGTGTGTGTGTGTGTGTGTGTGTGTGGAAATGAAGAGGTGTGTGTGGTGTGTGTGGTTCGTGGCTGGAGTTTCAGGGGAGATGAAGAGCGAGCATGTTATGTCACGTCACGTCACGTGGGAAAAAGGGGGCATTGGAAGGCGTTATTTAGGGGATGTCAAGAAGAGGAGGAGAGGAGGAGGAGGCGCAGTGGTAGGATTAAATTAGCATGTCGCGCGTTCCGCGACTCACACCATCAAGCATGTACGGCACACACACACACACGCTTAGGGTCCACGAGGGTGACGGAATGGCGGGCGACCTGGTCCTGCCGCAATTCACATAGGTGCAGGAATTAGGGTGGCTCGTGCGATATGTACGGCACGTACGGCCATGGCTGTCGTGTTTGGAGCTGTGTATGCGTGCGGGGGGAGGGGGAAATAGTGGAGGAGGTAAAGTGGGGAAATACACACACGCGTGCGGCTCTGCGGGCGGCAGGACGTGCACGAAGGGGGTTATGGGCGACCTAGCGAATGCCCCTGACCATAATGGAAAAACTTTTTCTCTGCTGAGTACGCCGTACGGAATACGGATCGTGTTCATGTACGACGCCGGCTGTACAAACTCAAGGAGATGCGGAGGAGCTCCTTGCGAGCTTCTCCCCCGTGTATCAGTACGACACCGTACTGTTGTACCCTCCCGGGCGCCAATCCTCTGGGTCGCCCGATGTTGGCACCGAAATTGAGCTAATCCAGAACTCAATAAAGGTTTAGACATTCTAAGAAACTTCCGGAAAAGTGCTTCCGATGGCCCCCTTTTGGGTCGTTCGTACGGTACGGCAAGCCGCCGCCCTCACCACCTCCCTGGGGCGAGTGGCCTGGGGGGCTCCGAACCACCACCACCAAAACCACCTCAACCACCACCGTCGGCGAGACGGCACCCTTTCGAACTGTCCCCTGTTTTTTCGTATTTCGGTTGTTGTCTTTAATTTGTCCCCTTTAGGCGAACCAAAGGGGTGTTCCCCTATTGCCTGGGGGGCCACCTGAGCTCGGGTTCGCTTTGCGGGTCGCCGTTGTCCGCTGCTTATGGATAGTTGTGCTGGTGGTTGTGGTTGTGGTTGTGGTCGTGATGTGTTTTTGTTACCCTTCTTTCCTGGGTGACGGTGGTGACGGTGGTGGTTGGTGGTAGTGGTGGTCTTGCAGTAGGGCGCTGCTGTGTGTGTTTTGGCAGTTCTGGTCGCGTGTTTGTCATTTTGGGGCAGCGGTTGGTGTCTCCAAGAAGCACCCGAGGGACCTTAGGGCCGCTGCATGATGGGGCCCCGCCGCGGCCACCCTTGAACGCCCAAGTGTTGCGGTTGCATGTGTTTTGTGGCGTGTTAGTTAGTTGGTTGGTTAGTTTAGTTACTGCGGCAAGTATTATCATTATGATTAGGCCCACATGTGACGGGAAGGGGGACTTCAGAAACAGGATGAGGGGAAAATTTTGGGTTTGTTGGGTCATAAATGCCGTACAGAGGTGAATGTTGGGAATCTATATCTGCAACCGTGTGGTGGTGGTGCTGCTGTTGCTGGAGCTCACCTCGCGGCATCTCTCTCTCTCTCATATCTTTGATGTGTCTGATGTTTGTTTGCATGTATACACTTGCGAATGCGCTGGTGGTTGTGATTTGAAGGAAATTTGAATTTGAAGGAAATTTGAATTTGAAGGAAATTTGAATTTGAAGGAAATTCGAATTTGAAGGAATTCGAATACTTATTGAGGGTGCAGCGGTGTCGCAGGTGGTGAATGGACAGATTACACATTTGGGTACAATAGTGCTGGCCCTGCATCGTATTGTATTGACCTATCGCAACACGCTCTAAGAGAGGCACCTAGCTGCGCCGCGCCTGCATATGTGGCATGGTGTTGCTTTTGGCAAAAGCAGGTGGTGCTCTGATGTAGTTAAAAGCTCAGCTCGTGGGGTGGGGGGAAATCGACGGGCAATGACGAGAGAGATGGAAGAAAGCCATCTCCCAAAGCATATATGATCTTTACAGCGCATGTGTCCTGTCGAATATAACCACGCCGGACTTCACATTGCGCCTACCGCTAACAACAACAACAACAGCAACAACAGGACGTAGAGCCGCGCGCCCGTCCCTGCGCTGTGTTTCGGCCCCCGGTCAGGGCCCCCGGTACTCTCGGTCCTTTCCCGGGCGAGCCGCCCCCCACAGTGTAACACCCCATCAACAGCAACAACGACGACGATATAACTATGAGAACAGCAATGCGGCAAGCAGGTCTTCAACTACAATGAACGGATCCTCCCCGGTGGTGAAGTTCAATGCTACGGTGACGTTTGGCCGTTCCACTATACGCGTGTGTGTGTGTGTGTGTGTGTGTGTGTGTGTGTGTGTGTGTGTGTGTGTGTGTGTGTGTGTGTGTGCGTGCGTGTGCGTGCGTGCGTGCGTGCGTGTGTGTGTGTGTGTGCACACCACAACCCCATCACCACTATACCATAAAGAAGCGGTAAAGTGTACCTAAACTAAACAGTGCTCCCCCGAACTAAAACCCCGCGCGCCAGTTCTGGTACTCCAGGAAACCAATGAAGGCATGTTCGGATCATCTCGGAACGTATAAAGAAGCTACTGCAACGTACGGCATCGTACGGAAGACGCCCGCACTCATTTTATGCGTTTGGGTTGGGGGCTGTATGTAGTGGGAGCCCCGGAGCTGCTGCCTGCTGCCTGAACTGCGAGAGCTGTGATCCACTTTTCCGCAGAATACTTGGGAGGGCATACAACATACGTACATACATACATATATATACTGCTGTTCTCTTCAGCCTGACGATTCAGTTTGAGAGAAAAGAAAGAAGTTGACTAAAAAAACGCCGCGTCGGTATGCTTTGTCGTGTCGTGTTGCGTTGGTGGAGAACAGCCGAGGACCCCTTGACACTGCTACGTTCACTGCTACGTTCACTGCTACGTTCACTGCTACGTTACGTTACGTTACTGGTATTCGGAGAAGTATACTGAGAGAAGAGAACTAGGGACACCACACCCCAGCTAGCAACACACACCACACCACACCACACCACACCACACCACACCACACACACACCACACCATACCGTGTGACGTACGAGGGTGTATGCGCGTCGAGTAATACAACGCATACCCATCCTGCCGCTTCACCTCCCCGCATGAGTCCCCTCCCCCTCTCCCCCACCTCCCCCTCCACCCTCTCTCCCTCCCCCCCCCTCCTCCTCCCCCTCCCCCCTCTCTCCCTCCTCCCCCCTCCCCCTCCACCCCCCTCCGATGTCATCTGGCCAGGGCTGCAGGATCACGGCAGAAGGCCCTATCCGATATCAAGTCCGGAACCGGCAGCACCTTCCCAGCGGGACGGGGGGCGGGTGTGGGCCCGCCGGGGTCTGGATTGAGCTGGTTGCACTGGTGGGTGATGGTGTGGCATTGTGGTGATGGTGGGTGCGCTTTGGGGCTCTTCAGCTCTTCCACTGCATGATGTCCGCCTGTCCTTGAACTTCCAACAACAACAGTAACAACAACAACAACAACAAAAACAACAGCAGCAGCAAATGCCACCACAGCAAACGCCTCACTGCAACGGCAATGGCACCAAGCACCACTCAGCAATGTCCCCAGTAGGCGCCCACCCCCACCCCCACACCCCACACCCTACGACCGCATATCGTTGCTGCTGCACAAGTGCCGGTGGTGTGTGCGATAGCTTACACACAGCACACAGCAGCACAGTGCACGTGTGAGATGAGAGTCGTGTGTGTGTGACGCAGCTGCCCCACCGAAAGAAAAGGAGAGCCACACACCCCCGGCACCACGTGTTTATGGTGGTGGTGGTGGTGGTGAAAGGAAGAACCCCGGAAGGAAGAACACACCAGTACGACACCAGTACGACCAAATCCAAGGTGCGGTAACCCGCGGTATAACCCTTTCCCCGAAGACGGCCCCACCCCACCCCAAGCAGCAGCACCCCAGCAGCAGCAATGCAGCAGCAGCAACGCCGAGACCACCTTTCCCTGCCGTAAACCGCACGCCGCACACACGTCGTATCAGGAAACTCTCCTGAGGGAATAAGCGACAAGAAAGACCTGAGAAGAAGGCGGGGACGAGATCTGAGGCGCCGCGTGCGGGAGCTGCCCCCGGGGCCCTGAGTGCTTCTCCCGGTACCCGCAACCCCCACCCCAACCCCGTTCGTGGTTCGTCTTTCCCCTCATCCTCCCCCCGGACCACACACACAGAGTGAAACCAACCAGGTGAAAGAGGAGCCGTCACCGGGGTCACCCGGGTGGGGCGGTCCAAACGGTCTGAGGCCCGACATGACCTGGAGGTGGACTCTTTCACGTGAACATGAATATGAGTAAAATGAGTGCAACGTTCTTCCCACGTTATGAATGAATATGTTGTTGTGCAAGAAGAGAGTCCTCGGCCCGCTTTTTCCCCCCTCTATATCCCCTAATTGCCCCCACCCCTCACGCCCCGCCCCGCACCCCCACCCCTCACATGCACAAGCGGAGGGGCGGGGAGGGGAAAAGGCGACCGAAGCCCGCAGCTGCACGCGGTAAGCTCCGCCGCTCTGCCGTCAAAGCGGATGGGACTTCCGGCGCTGCTGGATACTGCGCTACTGCACACTCCCCACCTGCCCCACTCCCCACCTGCCCCACCGCCCCAAGGCACACACCGCCTCAGACGCGCGCGCTTCACCTCCGGTGGGGCCCCCCCACCACCACACACTATCATGTACAGCGGCCCTACTACGTGGTAGAGTCCTAGACTTCCATTGCGATCAGGATCGGGAGGCAACACAACATCACCCACAGGGGACATCGCCCCAGGACTATAGGCTCAAAGCGCTCTGCCGCTTCAAGCTCCCCAAGCCATGTCGTACAACCGTGTGCCGTCGCCAGATCCGTAGGCCCCCCAGCCACTGCAGCTACTGCGCCAATGTCTCAGTTGTGGTGTCCGCGAAGGCGGCCTTCGGCCGCTTCCGTACCACCTCGCCATTCGGCCTACGGGCCTATCCGCCGCCGCCGCCGCCGCTGCCGCCGCTGCGGCGGCTGATGCCGAAAGGGCGGCTTCGCGCGCCGGCCACAAGCAGCGTCGTCGCCGTCACTACTCCTACGGCCCGCAGCCGCTCGTGCATCAGCGCTGCCGCGATTGCCTGGCCGACCCAGCTAGCCACGCCGGCGCCGCTGCCACAGGGGGGTGGCGGCGGCGATGCGTCGGCTGCCCCCAGCGGCAGCGGGTCTTGAGGACTGGCGGATGGGCTCAAATACGCACCCTCTGCTGCCGCCGCCACCTCCGCCACGGCGGCAGCTGCTCGCGACTTCTCGTCACCTTCCCAGGACTGCGGTTGCGGCGAAACCGCCGCCTGCGGTGCCACTGTTCTAGGTGAGTCGCGCGCTTGAACACGGGTTTCCGTTCTGTCCCCCGCCGCCGCCGCTGGCACCATCGTCGCCACCGTCGCCAGCCCCGAACATCCTGGGCGCAACATCCCCTCGGGTTTCACCGTCGCCACCACGGCCGCTGCCGCCGCCGGCCGCACCGCCGCCGGCTGTATTGCAGGCGTCGCGGGGCCACCTCCCGAGCCTGAGGAGCAAACGCCAGCGATGCCGCTGCCGCCGCCGCCGCCGCCGCCGCTGCCTCGGCGCCGCCGTCCCGGTGTCTTGCGGCCCTTGGGTACGGCCCTGGCGGCGGCTGCCCACAGAACTGCCTGCTCCACCTCCTTAGGGCCTAACTTAGTGTACGGCTCCTTCCATGGCTTGGGCACCCAGGACCCCTCCTGTCGACCTTACGGCAATAACCCGGCCCGACCCACACAACCCCACACCTGCTCAGTAGTAAGTATGTATGTACGTAAGTGAGTATGTAAGTATGTATGTATGTGCGCCGTGTGCCACGCCCTGCCGGAATGCTGTGCAAATGAAAGGCAGTGCAACGAAACGGAAGCGAATGTGTCCGTATGTATGTATGTATGTATGTATGTCGCCATGTGCTTGAGAGCGCTTTCATGAGAAGCTTCCGTTTCCCACCCCACCCCACCTATTCCGAAGCGACCAGCGCTCCCGCTTGCTGCGACAGACGAAGCCCGCAAATCTGTACATGGGACGACGACGCACTCCCGATTTTCAATTAAAAAACTACCTACTTGATTTTTTCCCTTAACGCTTTCCCCCCTAACAGCGAGCACTCGGCCCCCCCAGATGAACTCACGGACGTTATGCCAGAGGATGTGGTCGTCCGGACCCCACCACAGGGTAGGGTCGCGGGCGGGCCGCCAGCAAGCCGGCTCGTCAAAGCCCCGGAACACCAGCTGCACCCGGTCGCCCTCCGCATCCACACCCACCACCTCAGCCAGGTACCACAAACCGTTGCAGAGGTCCATGGCCATGGGGGTAGCGCCCAGCCGGTCAGCCAGCGGCGGCGGTGCCGCCAGCGCTGCGCCCAGCCTTGCGGCAGCACCTGCCGGCGCCGTGCCGGACGCGGCGGCAGCGGCGGCGGTGGCGGCCGCGGCGGCGGTGCTGCTGCCGCTGCCATCGGCAGTCGCTGCCGTGGCTGCACGACAGGCCCCGAAGAGTCCGACGCTGGCGCGGGTGGAGGAGGTGAGGGGGAGGGGGGAGAGTCCGATGCCAAGGCCAAGAGGTGTTGGCGCTGGTGGCCGCGGCGGCCGTGGTAGCGACGGAGGCGGTGGCGGCATCACCGGCGGCGCTATAAGCTCTGGGAATCGCACTTCGACTTGCCGGCCACCAGGCCACGGCGACGGCGACAGCAAGCTGGCACAGCCGCTGGCGTCCGCGGCTCCACGCGATTGCAAAGGCGGTCCAGGCCTGGGAACGGCGTCGGCTGGTGGCCGCGGCGCCGAACCACCGCCTCCGCCTCCGCCTCCGTCACCGCCTCCGTCACCGCCGCCGCCTCCGTGACAGGCCGCGGCGGCAGACCCCGGGTCATCTGCAGCTCTGTCCGTCCGTCCGCCTCCCATTTGCAATTCCGGATGCCCTACCGCGTTCCCACCGGCACCACCGTCGTCGTCGCTGACGTAGCCGTCCGGAGGTCGTACCCTGCAAATGGTGCAAAGGTTGCATGGACAGAACTGTGCCACAGCGCGTGGGTGTGCGCCCTCAGCCGAGCAGGAGGGGAGTGTGGCCCCACCTCACGCCCCTCTCCTCCCTCCCCAATGAGGAGAGGTCCTCTCTCCGCCGAGAACGGTTAGGACTCTTACCGATATAACGGCCCCCCAATGAGGAGAGTGCTTCTTCGGGGCGGTCGTTCCTTTCCGTTGGGGTGTACGGTACGGTTAGGTGGCCCCCCTGGCCACTGTCAGGCGTCAGGATCGATATGTAACACACGCATGCAAGCACACACAAACACACACCCGCACCCGCCGAGCTCGGACATGAGAGCACCGAGAAGCTCTTGGCCGCCCTGGCACCTGCTGCCCTCTCCCAACCCCTCACCCCCTCACCCCTCATCTCCCCATCCAACCAGCGACCCACACCCGCACCGGAAGTAGTGGGCGGTGGAGCGCTCGTCCCGCACCACCTCCAGCACCGCCCCGCAGGGGAACTCCACGTTCACCAGCTGCGCCATGAGCCGCTTCCGATGCCACTCGCTGGACACCCAAATGCGGACACAGCCGCCGCCG